TCGAGAATTATGATCCTAGCTCTTGTACCAAGGTATTCTGCAAATTCATCCTACATTGGGAGAAAAATATATTAGAATCAACATAATTTAAGTGGTTAAATAACAATTAAAAATATAATTACATCAACTTTTACCACTTAACAACGATGCAAGATTTAAAGTCACATCATCTTCAACATTTCTAATGATGCATAACTCTACATCAGTATGTCTCATGCTTCTTTTGTCATGTTTGCTAATGAGATCTTCTCAAAATTATTTTCATCGACACACTGGTGAATATAAAACAAAGTTTTACAATCACATTTTTTTTTGCATTACGAAACATGGCACGTTGTGTCTCGATAAGATTTTCCAGTAAACCATCATTTTCATTCATAACTATATCCAAAATTTCTTAAAACCTAAAGACAACCTTCATCTTCACGCACCATTTATTATAATTATTCAAATTTTCACTTTCGATATTGTCATGAAATTCAATTCTTACTATTGCCATTCAATCTTTTTTTTTTTTTTCTTCCCAGATCTTAAACTCTTGAAACTATTATTAGTAAAAAAGGAGGACAAAAGAAAAATTACATTGAATATATTTAACATAAAAACCGAATTATACACTTACACTACGGAAGTATTGTAGAGATATTATATTTATAAATTTATTAGGCTAACTAAATTAATTAGAAACATATTAGCCGAATTATAATCTAACACATATCTAAGAACACACAAACAAGTTTGTTATACTAACTAAATTAATTGTTATAATATTATTGGGTGAATTATACTCTAACACATCTAAGACAAGACCTTTAATTTCACACTCTAATATCCAAAGGTTAAGTGTGAATAAACCAACCAAAACATTGTCTGAAAGTCGGAACACTGACATGAATTCAAGGGACCCACCCAAAGAACGAAAGCGAGAAAAGAATAATAAATTTTGAGAGAGGGCACCACGCCTCGCCGACAGATCTCATCCTGAATTTCCTCGTCCCTCCTCTGAACGCGATGTCCTTTAATAGAAGTAATTCTGGAAAAGTAAATATCAATTAATTGGATGCTCCAACAACATCATTGCTTACATCTAATTAATAAAATAAATAAAATCGTTTAATAATTTTTCAAAACATAAATATAATATGTATTATTTTTATCTACCTTAGACAATATTTTACGACCAAATTTAATTATTAAAATTTTCTTTCAAATATTAAATAAGTTTATTTATAATTTTAAGGAATCATTAGAAAATTAAATATACTACATTTTTAATTTTAAGTCAAAATTTAGAGTTTTTTTCTTTAAATATCATATAAGTTAGTTTGGATAAAAGCTAAATTATATTTACCCTTTAAAAAAATATATTATTGTGTATTTTTTATATTTTAATTTTTTTTATCTTTAAAAATAACACTATTATAAAATATAAGAGAGGAAGAGTATACCTTTAATTTAAAATAAATACAATTTCGAAAAATGTTTTAATTTAATTTTAATATATATATATATATATATATTTAAAGTAAACTATTTATTTAAAATAAGAAAATAAAAGTAAAAATAATTTGTATATCTATAAAACTGCAAACAACTAGTTGGTGAACTCGTGTCGTGTTATACAATAGTTTAATTTAATAACTTTAAAATATTGATTTAAAATATATAATATCTTTTATGATTAATGTAGAAAAAAAGAGGAAAAATAACATGATGAGAGTCTAAGCTTGTGAAAATTTTATACTTTTACATAGTGAATTACATAAAATAAAAATATGAAATAATAATTAAAATGATAATAATAAGTAAGTAAAATTTTAAGCATGAGAAGTTATAAGCTGTTATAACAACGATATAAAAACTATTATAAACACTAAAAGAAATTAAATTTCAAATTTAATTGAAACGAAGAAAATATGAACAGGTGAAGTAAAAGTTTTCTTATATTCTTTTGTTACGTGATTAAATATAAATTATTTTTAAAATTTAAATTATATTATAAATTGTTAATTAACTGAAATTTCACTCTAATCTATTTAATCCATAAATTAAATGAGTTGATTTCATGTTAATCCATAATCAATAAAAATAAAAAATCAAACCTAACTCAGTTCAATTAAATGATGATGAGTCGGATTAAGTCACGTAGATCCCATACTTATATCCTAGTCGTATACACAATTTATTTTAAATGGAAAAACACGTATGAAGCACATAATCTGGATGGTTAAGATAGAGAATTCACAATGTATTTTTTGATACGGAAGAAATTATGACATTACTACAAAAAGTTCTATTGTGAGAAGGATAGACAGGTAATATGCTTTTATCTATTTCGTGAAAATTATTAAATGTCCCAATCAATAGTTATATATATACTTTTTTTTTCTCAAATAGGAAAAAAGAAGAAAGAAAAAAAAACTCTCTAGTCAAAGAAGATAAAAAAAAAAAGATAGAAAGGGAAGTTTTTCTGACTCTAGAGAAAAATAGAGAGATTATTGTTATATATAAAAAAAAAACCTAGATTGTTTATTTGAGGATACAAGTGTTAATATTATTTTGGATTAAGTTAGGAATGATTTGAAAAAGAAAAAAAATAAAAATTATGTAAAAGTTATAATAGATATTGATATTTTAATGTCCAAACTTTTTGTTCGAGGCTTCACTATCGATTTTTCTTAAGCTTTATTCATGTTCCGTGGAATATCATTATTACCTCTTGTTTTTGTAAACATGTCTCAATGCAAACCATTAGTACCTTAAGCGTTAAGCAAAAACAGTTGGATCCTATTGGTTAAAAAGAAAACAAAAATATTAAAAGCCGCCTCATTTTTTATATAACGATGAATATAAATTAATATTATTTAAACACACTGAACCTATTTTTTAAGGTTGCCTCTTAAATCTGGTTAATTCTCATATTTTTAAATTATAAAACTATGAAAATTGATTCCTATGACTCATTTATTTTTTGTACATTTTAACAATACAAAACATTAAATAATCTATTACTTCATGTCTAATAAATTAATATGTCCTTTGAGATATTTTTTCATAATTATTTCGAGAGATAATAAGTTATTTGTGGAACTTTTTCTTCCATTGTTTTTATTAATTATATTTCTGTTCATTTTATTTTATATTTATTTCTTTTCACGGAAAGTTTCCTTCTAGAAGACTCCAAACGAATTGCCATTAGAGAGAGCACTTGAATTGCAGACGATATATAATAAATATGACATTTAATGGAGATTATTATAATATCTCGTTTTAATATTTGATATGAAAGTGTCTTTGCATTAAAGGCTTTTAAATCGTACATGTACAACTCTATTAAACTAATCATAAATTCTTGGGACGTTTTATATAGTAAGTAATCTGCCTAACAACTGCTTTTACCTAACTTGCAGATTAAGATGTTAATTAATAAAATTATCTTTGCTGTAACTTGAAAAAATAAAAATAAAAACATTGATATTTTCCCTTTTTAATAAAATATTTAAACAAACTATTATTTTTTTATATTAAAAATTTAAAAATGGTGTAATTCCAAAGAGAGAGAAAGAGCACACTTTAATTGAAAATTTAGTTTTCAACAAATGGTCCTACACGCGCGGCGACCCTAAGAGAATCTTCTACTTTGACTAATTAATGCTAGACAGATATTTAGGTTGTTTTATTTAAAAAATATTTCTTATAACTTCATTCAATTTAAAAAATAAAAATAAAATTTGTAATTTAAACTTATCAAATTAGAATTATAATCTTCTAAATTTAATTTAGATTTAATTTATCTTCTAACTTTTCGTAATTTAATTTGGGTTTTAGTTTTGGTCCTCTATCTTTTCTTATTTACTTTAGTCTTCGTATTTTTATTGACTAAGTTCTCCCCAACTTTTTACATCGTGTTTGTCCTTTTATGAATTCGGAAAAGTTTCCGCGTTTAACATTGAGGTGAGATTACGATGAAAACGATTAACAATGACAGAAATAGAGGCTAGACATTTGATCCACGATATAGACTTCGTTATAGTGTTTGAAAAGGATAACAAATTAGCTAAATAAAGACAACTTGCAGACAGTTATACATTTTTGTAGTGAAGGTTTGGTAATGCAAAGTAGAAAGAAATCATAATCAAGATCTTTTCATTAAATTGGGAGAGACAGAGAGAAAGCAAAATTTGAAAAAAAAAAATTTTTTAATTAATAATTTAAATGAATAGAATAGAATAGAGATTATGGAATTTAGAAAATAATAATAGTAATATAAAAATAAAATTGCAAAGACCGCGATAATGACTCCTTTCACTACGACCAGAATCATGGGAGGCTAAAAGGGGTTAGCAATTTCCGCTATGCTCCCAAAAATATCTTTGGTTGGACTTTATCGTTGGAACTTAGAAATACCCTACAACGTCATCTCGTGTTACTACCATGTGCCCTACCCAGAGGATCCAATGAGCCACACAAACACTGATCCCAAAATATAAATCACAATTGGAAGAAGTTTTACAGCCACCCAATAGTAATTGCGGTACTTAATTATAACAGGTTGATTTGGATTCTGAATTGGACAAAACTGGACCAGACCTTTTCTTTTGTTTGTGTGGTGCTCTTTCTTTCACAAATAGCTTAATTAGTCTCCTTTACTCGTTGAGCATCTCCTGTAATGGCTAAAGGATTTTACATCGTCCATGTAATATATTATACTTGTTATGTTTTTTCTAACCATATGTTATTATCTTGCTAAGCTTTCTCTTTCCTCTCCTTACTATATATAAACTTGAGTATGTTTCTCATAAAAAAAGACCAAGAAAGGAAGATATACAATCAGGATCCCTACATGAATATGGGGTTGTCTTTCTGAACAACCCCTTCAGAACGTAAAGCGAGAGGGATTCCCTGATTTCAGAAATTGCTGACATTGCAAGATTATATATTCATATACATCATAACACCACATTTTTTCAGTGTTGGGTTGTTGCTCTCACAACATAACAATGGAGGGTGAGAACAAAAAGTACATCACATCTGAGGAGTTGAAGGAGCATAACAAGCCAGGGGATCTGTGGATCTCCATTCAGGGAAAGGTGTACAACGTGTCAAATTGGGCAAAAGACCACCCTGGTGGAGAGGTTCCCTTGTTGAACCTTGCAGGCCAAGATGTGACTGATGCATTTATAGCCTACCATCCAGGATCTGCATGGAAACATCTTGATCAGTTCTTCACCGGGTACCACCTCAGGGATTTCAAGGTCTCAGAGGTGTCCAAGGATTATAGGAAGCTTGTGTCTGAGTTTGTCAAGATGGGTCTTTTTGAAAAGAAAGAGCATGTCACTTTCTACACACTATCCTCTGTTGCAGTGATGTTTGCCATTGTTGTTTATGGCACCGTAGTGTGTACCAGTGTGTGGGCTCATTTGGGTTCTGCCCTCTTGTTGGGCTTGCTTTGGATGCAAAGCACGTATGTCGGTCATGATTCTGGCCACTATGAGGTCATGTCCGGTCCTGGTTACAACAAATTAGCGCAAATCCTTTGTGGTAATTGCATGACTGGGATAAGCATTGCTTGGTGGAAGTGGACTCACAATGCTCACCACATTTCCTGCAATAGCCTTGACCACGATCCTGATTTGCAACACATTCCAGTTTTTGCTGTGTCTAGTCGTTTCTTCGATTCAATCAAGTCTTGTTTCTATGGGAGGAAGCTGAAGTTTGATTCATTGTCCAGATTTCTGATCAGTTACCAGCACTTAACATTTTACCCAGTCCTATGCTTTGCTAGGCTCAATTTGTATCTCCAGACTTTGTTATTGTTGTTTTCTAGGCGCAAAGTCCCGGATAGAGCCTTCAACATCATGGGGGTTTTTGTGTTTTGGATTTGGTTCCCTCTCCTAATTTCTTGCCTCCCAAATTGGGGAGAAAGGGTCATGTTTGTGCTGGCCAGTTTTGCTGTTTGCTCCATCCAACACCTTCAATTCTGTTTGAACCACTTCGCTGCTAATGTGTATGAAGGGCCACCAAATGGAAATGACTGGTTTGAAAAGCAAACAAGTGGGACATTGGACATCTCTTGCTCAACTTGGATGGACTGGTTCTTTGGGGGCTTGCAATTCCAACTTGAGCACCATTTGTTCCCTAGGATGCCTAGGGCCCAATTGAGGAAAGTTTCTCCATTGGTCATTGACCTCTGCAAGAAGCACAACTTGCCTTACAGGAGTTTGACATTTTTTGAGGCCAATCTATGGACTCTTAAGACCCTCAGGACTGCTGCCCTTCAAGCCAGGAATCTGAGTAATCCTTCCTCCCAGAATTTGCTCTGGGAAGCTTTCAACACTCATGGTTGATTTCAGCATCTGGGTGGATTTTCCAGGAGTGCTGATCATCAAGTTTCTCTGTTTCCCACCCTTCTATAAAAGATTAGTATCAACATCTTGTTCTCAATTTATTATCTCCCGCATTTCTTATCTGGGCACTCATGATTAATGTCTCCCTCTTGGCTATGGAATAAAATGATGATCACAATTTATTTTGCAAAATTCAGATGGTAATCTGGAGGGTCCAGCAAGAATCTATTGCGGGACAATAGTGTTGTCTTGTCCCTCAGAAGACCGAATCTAGAATTATTTTTTCAGATCAGCGAATGGTTAATTGTTATGTTTTTAGCACATCATGTTTCTATTTTCTATTTCTCTTTTTTGGTGAATCTCTATGTTGTAAACAATCCGACGTAGGCAACGAAGTTAGGTTCATCTGTGGTTACTTCCACGTGAATCTTTCATACATAAGTCAAAACTCACGACATCGTTTTTTATTTTTCATGCTTTTTCTCACTTTCCCTTTTCTGCTTTTGATTCCCCGTACAAATTATATTATGTAAATTGCATATCATGCGCAAACAACATGCCTCCTTGCACGATCTTAATTATTATGTTTCAAACGTGTTTAGATTTGATGAAAGTCTCACATCGCATACCTCATATCATTTGGTATGGTTTAAATACATGTTAGGCTACTCCACATATTGCCAATTGATTTTATGTTGGAACCTTAACATGGTATCGGAGTCAAAGCCTAACATCTTTCCGGTTATTAGCATGGGCCAAAAGTTGTCCTTTAGTTAGGTCAAAATTACCCTTTGCACTGGTCCATGGGCTTCGTTGGAGGGTGTGTTGAAAGTCTCACATCGCCTATCTCATATCATTTGGTATGGTTTAAATACATGTTATGCTACTTCACATATCGCCAATTTTTTTACTTAATACTTCTCTCGCTTATAAAATTAAATAATTATTTCTATAAATAAACCAAATCAAGTTTATAATTGTATATTTACTTTTCTATCTTCCTATGTTGGAACCTTAACAAGCTTGAAGGAAATAATTTTTTTTTTTACTTAATACTTCTCTCGCTTATAAAATTAAATAATTATTTCTATAAATAAACCAAATCAAGTTTATAATTGTGTATTTACTTTTCTATCTTCCATTCCATAAACACTTACGCATAAAAAAAGAATAAATAATAATATAAACAATAAAGGTAAAAAACTTGAATTGTCTTTTACATAAATTATACCTTTCTTCATACATAAATAATAGATTTTCATTTAATTTCTATAATATTTCCTTTTCACCATTGCTTTCTTTTTACCTCACCATTTTTCATCATACCATGTTTTCTTGTTTTTTTTTTTTTTTTTTTTTATCTCATTTTCATTCCACTCGTTTTATTCCTCCTAACGGATGTGAAAAAAAAAAAACACTCTTTATTTTAGATCTAAAATATACCAAAAATGGAATTTCAATGTTATACATGGAAAATGTCTATAAATTAGTGTGTACACGTTTATAGTATCGGCTTACACACCATGAAAATAAAAAATTGAGGATTTGGAACAATACATTCAACCCATCGCGTGACTAGATCTAGAAGCATGCGTAACCCATCTAATAATTGAGCATATTAAACTATTCATTTTGGTTGTCATGGATCTTGATGTAAAGTGATATTTCTTTGATTTCAAAAATATATAGACTTTTGATTGTCAAATTTTATTTTTAAATATATAATATTTATAAAGTTTAAAATTGTATTAATTATTTTTTATCAAGTAGATTTTTACTTTTAAAAAGTTTAAAAAGAATTAAAATAATGCTTTTATGGGACTTTAAGTGAATTATAACTTACAGGTGAACATTGATATACCAAGTAATTTGTATGAAAAATAAAGGTAAAGACTTTATAGAGATGGTTGAAGACTCTTTCCATGATATACAACATGACATTATTTAAGTTTGCAAAAACTGAAATTCTTTTATAAAAATAAGTTGAGCACTTTATTTTTTTTATTTGTAATTTGAGTATTTAAATTTAAAAATTTATTTTTGATACTCATGTATGTTTGTAAAGTACTGATTTTTTTGAAGTTAGTATATATATATATATATATATATATATATATATATATATATATATATATATATATATATATATATATATATATATATATAAAGTGATAGTTTTTTTTTGGGAGGAAACAAAAAATTTCCATAATTTCCAAATCAAAATTAATGGTACTAAAATTTTCAAGATTGGAAATATAGATGAGATTTTACTTTTAATAAAATAAGAAAATGTTTCACATTCTCATTATTCTCTTTTTTTTTTTTTTAATTATACTTTATCATATCGAGAGAAGATAAATTATTGTCCATAATAATAATTTTGGTGGAGAAAGGAGAATAAAATAACAAGAGTATTATTGGAAAATTTTTAAAAGATTATAATAAGTTATAAAAGATCATGTTTTTATTGATTTATGAAAGATTATAATAAGTTAAAATAATATATTGTTAAAATTAAAACATTACGACAACGTCAGTAATTAGTGCTTATAAGTATATGAAGAAATTTTTATTTATTTATTATTAATTTAATAAATATTTATATTCGCAACTATAAGCCTAAATTATTAATTGTTACTTTTTACCTTTCAAATTTATTTATTATATGTGTCGAAAAAATTGATGCTCAAGTATTCTTTTCATTTTTATTAATACATATATACAAATAAGTCAAAGCTTAATTAATTTAATTTAATTTTTAAAATTTTTGTTTTATGTGTCACATAATCTAACAAGAAATATCTTTTTGAAATAATTTTTATTTGAAACATCAAATTAATTGACGTTATTTAAATATATATAATTCGTTATTTTGTAGGGTAAATATGAGGATTATATGTATTTAATTTTGATCACGTTAAAAGATTTTGCAATGAATTGAGTTTAAAAGTTATTTTCTAAAAATATAGATTTATATGTTAAAAGAGACTCCATCCTCAGAAAAATAGTATATTGACAATAATTGAGAATTCACCGTGGGAATAATATTGGTCGGAATTTAGGTTAATCACATTGATTAGGAGAGGCAATGTTCAACCAAATGATTGAAAATTAAAAATAAGATCTTTTAGATAAGGCAAGATACCTTTGTCTTCAAAACTTAATTTTGGTATTCATACACCATTCAATCATTTTAGTTTTCATATGGTATTTAAGATAAATAAATATTGTAGATGGAAAAAATATATATTTAATTTTCATGAAAGGTCCAATTTTACAACCCGGGTTGAACTTTTGTGGATTGGGCTTCCCAGAAAAACCCACCTAAGATATGATGAAAAAAACAACACAAGTAAGCACAAGGAGATTCACGTGAAATAGTAAGAAGAAGCTAAGAACAAAAGTAAAACAATATCACATTAAGAATTAGAAAAGAGAAGATAAATCATAAATTTAACATGTTTAGTTACTAATGAAAAAATTTATGTGACCATTGAAAAGATCTTATTGAAAAAAAAAATCTTTAAAAACTTGAAAACAGTTCAAGTATTTTTTTATTGAAAAGTTTGAAGAAACGTAATTTTAAAACTCTCCATAGTTACATGGATGGCAATGAAGAGTATTAGTATTTTATTTTTAAGTATTAATATTTGTAAAAATTAAATAAATATTTATAAATCATTTTTTCAAATTAAAAAATAAATAAAAGAAAGAAGTATAGATATATATATTTAAAATTTATTTAAAAAAATGTGTAATTTTTTCAACAACAAAAAAATAATAACATATTTTCAAACTAAAACATAATTTTGCTTTGTCATTAATATTCTAGCTTTTAATTTCCTTTATAATATAATTTTTGGTTTTTGTTTTCTATCTTATAAGAAAACAAAGAAGGTAAAACGCCATTATCAGAAATACACTGAATATTGATTCATCACAATAAGCTAAAAGTAAAATTCAAATTAAAATTATAAAGATAGCAAAATAGAAAAACTAACCACTAACCAAGTTATTTCTTCGCATTTCAATTTAAATAAAATATTATTTGAATTTATTTATAAGAATAATATAATTAGTATTTAATTATGTAGATTTTGTTAGAAGGTTTTAAACCTCTACTAACGGGTTCTGAAGTGATGATGCATTAATAAACAAGTCTCCGCATAGAATTTAAATAAACAAATCTCATCTTGATGTAACCTTTTCCCAACATATCTGAATTTCATGATACAAAAGTCACAAAATGACAAATATTAACATAAACATCGTGGATGTCAAAAACTTGCATGGATTCTTTCGTACACTTGACATATTGATTCCGAAAGCTAGTGTGGCCATCTTACATTAAGAAACCGTTCATCTTGTAATCTTTTTCAAAACTTGCATCATAAAATTTCATGTCAATGAAACCCTTCGTTTTCCTTGCATAAACAGGTTTCCTTTCTTTGGATATTTGGCTGAAAGAACATCCACTATATATTTTCCCATGAAGCGCTACATCGTTATATGGTGCCTAAAAAATCATTTCACATGTTTAAGAGCTCATAAATGTTATGGAATGATTCTTTTATGGTTAGTCCAACTAACTATGTTATAAATAAATGTCTCTTTGTATTTGTGGAATAATACTTTTCAAAACTAATTTACATGTTGTGAATACAATTTCATTTTAGTACCTTTTTTCCCTCTCTCTCATTTATTGTTTTAACTGTCGCTTTCTGCTAACAGTGGTAGTAAAAGCTTTAAGATTCGGGAAGAAAAAAAAGGAAGAAAAAAAAATGACGATGACAAGAATTAGATTATATGGCAACATGTCGGTACTCAATAGTAAGAACCTAAATAGGTACGATAATTGGTGTGTGAAGATAAAAGTCATTTCTAGTTTTCAAGAAGTCTTGAACGTGATACTGAATAGATATGAGATGTGTAATATCCTAAATTTTGTAATCAATTATATAAATAAATTTTGTACGTTATAAATATGTACCGAATATTAT